GCCTCCGACTCTCAACAGACCAGCCTTGTCAAGTTTTGGATCCATTTTGAATATTGGACTGCTTTTATGGCAGTATTTATTCTTTGCAAGGAGGTTGATTTCTTCTTTGTAGTTTTGCCTTTGTTCGTAAGCATGGATGCATTGTTCAGCATTTTCAAGCTCTTTCACTGTCAGTCTTTTTTCATATTCAACACATTTTTTATGTTTCTTTAATTTTGCCAGAAGCAGTCCCATAAACCTCAGAAGCCATGCTACACTTTTTTAAAGTTTATTCCAGTCTGAGAAATGTTCAATCAGCTTGCTCGTGGGACTGGTTTGTACAACAGTGACAGTGTTTACAAATACATCTTTTTTCACCTCTGGGTCTTCTTTTGACACAGGATACTGCATTGCATCTGGAATCGGTGGCCACTGTGATTCACTTTGTGTCAAGAAATCAGGTCCATTAATCCATCTTTTGGATGTGAGGAAGGACTCAATGTTTAGACCACGTGAGGCATCATCTGCAGGATTTAGCTTCGAATCAACATATCTCCACTGATCTGCTGAAGACAAAGCCTGAATTACTGTGACACGGTTTGCAACAAATGTTTGAAATCTCCTTGACTGGTTTCGAATGTATTTCAATACGGATTGACTGTCCGTCCAGTAGACAGATTCCTGTAAATCCATTTTTAGTTCAGATTTTAACATACAATCAACACGAACAGCAAGAGTGGCAGCTGTGAGCTCCAGTCTAGGGATAGTTATTTTCTTTAGAGGTGTTACTTTCGATTTGCCCATGACTAAAGCTACATGTACATGTCCTGAGCTGTCAGTTCATCTCAGGTAGCTGGCTGTACCATATCCCTGCTCACTTGCATCCGAGAAGTGATGCAACTGAGAATTTACTGCTCTGCTCATGTATTTTGGTTTTAGGCCTCTGTCTATTTGAAAGTCTTTGAGTTTTTCCAGTTCAAACAGCCATTTTTCATAACGTTGTGATAATTCAATGGGAATAATTGTATCCCACTCACATTTTATTTGACAGAGGTTTTGCAGAATAAGTTTTGCTTTTAGCACAAATGGTGCTACTAGGCCCAAGGGATCATAGACAGAACTTACAGTAGATAGAACAGCTCTTCTGGTGAGTGATCTTGTTTTAACAGATACTTGGAAACCAAATGTATAATTTTCAATATTCCAAGTCAGACCGAGAGCTCTTTCCACTGGTAATTTGTCTCTGTCCAAGTCAAGTTCTTTGATTTGTTTAGCTCTGTTTTCCTCTGGAATTGTAGACAAAACAGAGCGACTATTACTGACCCATTTAGTCATCTTGAATCCACCTTTTGCACATAGCTCGCTCAGTTCCTCAACTAGATGGATGGCAGCTTTCTCTGTGGAAACAGATTTCAGACAATCATCAACGTACAGATTATATTTGACTGTATCAATGGCTTCTGTAGTGAAACTGGATTTATTATCATTTGCTGTCTTTTTTAAGGCAAAGTTTGCACAGCTTGGTGAGGATATGGCTCCGAATAAATGGACTTTCATTCGGTATTGCTGCAGTGGCTGGCTAACATCTCCATTTGGCCACCACAAAAATCTCAGCAGGTTAGAATCTTCTTCATTAACTCTAACCTGGTGAAACATTCCTTCAATATCTGCCATTATAGCAATGTGTTCTTGGCGGAACCTGAGCAGCACCCCGAGCAGTGAGTTGGTCAGATCAGGACCCTGTAGCAGCTCCTTGTTAAGTGAGATGCCCTGGTACGAGGAGGTACAATCAAATACTACTCTAAGGGTCTTTTTGCGTTTATGGTACACACCATGGTGGGGTATGTACCATACTTTGCCATTTTTTATATGAAGATCCTTAGATGGCACCTTTTCGGCATAGTCTTTATTTAAAATGTCTTTCATTAATGCCTTGTACTCCTCCGCAAAGCTTACATTGTTTTGGAACCTTTTGGCAAGATAATGAGCTCTTTGTTCAGCAAGGTGATAATTATTTGGCATAACAATGTCTCTGTTTTTAAGCGGCAATGGTAAGTAATAGTGATTGTCTTTTAATGTTGCCTCTTGTGACATCATATTCATAAACTTTGTGTCCTCAACTGACATTTGGGGTCTTTCCTCATATTCTTTTTCAGGAAAGTCATGGCTGTATTGTTGTTTTAGCATAGTCTCTATATTATCAATTGAAATGCGGTTTACTGATGCCACAGGTCTGCCATGTCCGTCCACAGCTGCAGAATTGAGCGGTCCATTCACCACCCATCCAAGTAAAGTTCTGACAGCATAGGGGCCATTACCCTGACTATTTATAATCTGCCAGGGTTCCATTGCCTTTGGAACATCTACTCCTATAAGGAGTTCCACATCCGCATCAATTTCTTTGATTCTTACTTCTTTTAGATATGGCCATTTGTGAATGTCAGTTTGTGTCAATATGTTTGCTCTTGTCACTGGGATTTTCCATTGAGTGTACGTTTTTTCCAGATCAATAAAGTTATTGCCACTCACATCACCAACTTGTAAACCATTAATTTCGTAACTGTTTACTGGTTTTCTTTGTCCCATTGTTTGCAGCAAAACTTGTGTCCTTTTTCCATTGACATTCAGTTGACGCATTATATTCTCTGTGCAGAATGTGGCTGTGCTTCCTGGGTCTAGGAAGGCATAGGTAAAGATTGTTTTGTCACCTTTTGCTGCTTTTAGCTGGACAGGCACAATTGATAATTTACAGTCACTTCCAGCCCCAGTATCACAACTGTTTTTCTTCTCCATTGAAAGTAATGTGCCACTCACTGATTGTTTTAGTTTCATATTTGAATTGTCCACTGAGTTGTGTATGTGCAACACACTTGGATGTTTAGCTTGACAGTACTCACATGTCATCCTTCTTTTACATGCTTTGCTCATATGTCCTTTGTTCAAGCAGCCAAAGCAGATGCCATTTGTTTTAAGCAGATGCACTTTAACATCATGTGTCTGTGCTTTTAACTTTTCACACTGATCCAGAGAATGATTTGTTTTACCACAAATACAACACACAGTTTTATAGTCATTAACAGTTGTGACAAAACTGCTGCTCTTATTCTTCTGTGGCTGGTGAGCTCTGGATTCTACCGTTACTGTGGGCTTGGAGTATGTTTTTCTAGAAACATCCTGGATTTCACCAAAGAGAGGATCTTGTAGAATATTAGACTGTTTTTCAATGAATGCTACAAGGTCAGAAAATCGTGCTGGTGTTTTATTTGTTTCCAGAAGTTCATGTGCCACTGTTCTCCATCTTTCTTTGAGTTTATAGGGCAGTTTAGACAACACCAGTTTTAGATTAGATGGTAGATTTAATTCTTGCATGGATTTTAATTGTTTCATTGTGTTGAGACATCCTCTTAAATAAAGAGCATATGCATGCAGTGCATTTCCATCTTCTGGCTTTATGTTGTTCCAATTGAGAGCCCTTTCAATATATGCACTAGCAAGTTTGAATTCATTTCCAAAATGTGTTTTTAACAGTCCTTTTGCCTCTTTGTAGCCTATACTTGCATCCATGTGAAAGCAGCTCCTTACAAGCTCTCTGGCTTGACCACTTGTGTACTGCTCCAAGTAATAGAGTCTATCATCCTCATTGTCCGTTTTACTCTCGATTCCATATTTAAATGCTCTCACAAATGTCTGATACTGTAATGAATTGCCATCAAATACTTGTATTTGTCTGGAGGGTAGTGAAGATTGTTGCTGCTGTGACATTAGAAGACTTGTGATGTCATTTTGCTTTTTAATAACAGTCAGCAGTTCTTTGGACAGAGTTGGTTTGTCCGTGTCATTACTTATGCTTGTGTCACTTTCAGATCCATTTTCTGATGGAGCTCTATCAGATGAAGATTTGTTTAGTTCTCTTTCCCCAACATTTGGTTGATTTATAAAACGTTGAAGCGGGGTCTTTGGAATAGCATCAATGTCCGGGTATTCAAATGAATGTATAGAATTTTCCATTGACACATTTTTGATCATGTTGACATTTTTATTATCTTTCATTTCATATTGCACTTTTTGTGACATTCTCGCTTCTGGACTTTGAGTGAAACTGTCCAAAACCTTTAGCTTTGCATCAAATGCGGCTATATCAGAAGCCAGTCCAATTTTCTCAAGCTCAGCATTTATTTTAGCCTTTTCCACTTCCATAGCATGTTTCTTTGTTAACACAGCCATGCGTGCCTCCATAGCAGCTTTTTCTGAGGCTACTTTCAGACGCTCACTTATAGCACTGGAGACTTGTGATTTTGAGCTTCCATATGATTTTACAGACCTCTTTGACATGTATGACATTTTCGTTTTCACAGAGTGTCTTGATCCACTTGATACATTTGATGCACTGTCATTGGGTTCAATTAAGATCTGTGGGTCATTTAGAGCCTTTATTCTTGTTTTTGTGCTCTCCATAAATGCATTAAATATTTCCATTTTTGGTTCGTACCAATCCATAGTTTCATTTTCTTGTACTTCTGGAGGTAAAAGTCTTTGCACAGATTTATGACATTCTTCAAATTCCTTTAATGACACTTTAAAATGTTCATATTGATTTGCTAAATAGTCCGGATTTGGTGAGACAAGAGGATTTGTGAAGAGTTCTTTGATGTCATTCATGCGTCTTGTACAAGCACCCAACTTTCCTCTCCGACTAGCACAGTGTCTTTTAAAGTCTTTTCCAACAACTTTAGCTTCGCTGTCCACACTATCCTGTGTGGTTGCGTCCAATTCCTCTTCTTGGCGTAGGCTCCGTGCTCCTTCGGCTTCATTCATTTTATCAGCGCCGTCTGCTGGACTTTGCCGTTTCTTTACAAAACTTTCCAACTTCGTCTTGTTCAACTCACAATCCACGCATTAAATTCAGTGCGTGCTTGTTCAATGTTCAAAAGTGCGCTGTTGCGCTGACGTTACTCACATTCCACGCGAGTCGTCTCCAAACTCATCAATCCGCACGCGGCCCCTTTGATCCATTCATTCATTCAAGCGAGGTCCGCGGTGCGGGGCGTGCCACTCCAGCGCAGGCTGGACTCAAGCGTTGCCGAGGTTTTTGACTTTGTCTTGGCTTCTAAGCGATCATGTAGCCATCCTTTGGGTGTCCGCTTTCTGACTCACAGCATCAAACACAACACGTAGCCGTAGATCCATTTCCAAAGTTTTATTTCAAATCAAATAGTCTGTGCGTTGCGTTGCGTGCGTTCGTGCGTTGCGGTCAAAAACCATGTCGGTCACCCTCATTATGCCGATTCCCCCACACCTGTCCCATCTATGAATACTCTGTCCCGTCTGTACCGCCCCCTCTAGCTCTAAATAAAGGAATATTAAGATTTTTATTTTTAACGTTATCATAACAAATATATTTCAGGATGTTTTTAAATAATGATTTTACATTTTAGAACTAATTTTAGACCTAAACATTTTAGACTTTTAGACATTTTAATATAAACTAAATTATGGCCTTAACACATGTTATTATTATAGATCCATGTTATTATTATAGATCCATGTTATTCTTATAGATCCATGTTATTATTATAGATCCATGTTATTATTATAGATCCATGTTATTATTATAGATCCATGTTATTATTATAGATCCATGTTATTATTATATATTCAAGTTATTATTATAGATCCATGTTATTATTATATATCCATGTTATTATTATAGATCCATGTTATTATTATAGATCCATGTTATTATTTTAGATCCATGTTATTATATATCCATGTTATTATTATAGATCCATGTTATTATTATAGATCCATGTTATTATAGATCCATGTTATTATTATAGATCCATGTTATTATTATAGATCCATGTTATTATATATCCATGTTATTATAGATCCATGTTATTATAGATCCATGTTATTATAGATCCATGTTATTATTATAGATCCATGTTATTATATATCCATGTTATTATAGATCCATGTTATTATTTTAGATCCATGTTATTATTTTAGATCCATGTTGTTATTATAGATCCATGTTATTATTATAGATCCATGTTATTATTATAGATCCATGTTATTATATATCCATGTTATTATTATAGATCCATGTTATTATTTTAGATCCATGTTATTATTTTAGATCCATGTTGTTATTATAGATCCATGTTATTATTATAGATCCATGTTATTATTATAGATCCATGTTATTATATATCCATGTTATTATTATAGATCCATGTTATTATTTTAGATCCATGTTATTATTTTAGATCCATGTTGTTATTATATATCCATGTTATTATTATAGATCCATGTTATTATTATAGATCCATGTTATTATAGATCCATGTTATTATTATAGATCCATGTTATTATTTTAGATCCATGTTATTATAGATCCATGTTATTATTATAGATCCATGTTATTATTATAGATCCATGTTATTATATATCCATGTTATTATTATAGATCCATGTTATTATAGATCCATGTTATTATTATAGATCCATATTATTATTATAGATCCATGTTATTATATATCCATGTTATTATTATAGATCCATGTTATTATTATAGATCCATGTTATTATAGATCCATGTTATTATTATAGATCCATGTTATTATTATAGATCCATGTTATTATATATCCATGTTATTATTATAGATCCATGTTATTATAGATCCATGCTATTATTATAGATCCATATTATTATATATCCATGTTATTATTATAGATCCATGTTATTATTTTAGATCCATGTTATTATTTTAGATCCATGTTATTATTTTAGATCCATGTTATTATTATAGATCCATGTTATTATTATAGATCCATGTTATTATTATAGATCCATGTTATTATAGATCCATGTTATTATTATAGATCCATGTTATTATTTTAGATCCATGTTATTATAGATCCATGTTATTATTATAGATCCATGTTATTATTATAGATCCATGTTATTATATATCCATGTTATTATTATAGATCCATGTTATTATAGATCCATGTTATTATTATAGATCCATATTATTATTATAGATCCATGTTATTATATATCCATGTTATTATTATTAGATCCATGTTATTATTATAGATCCATGTTATTATAGATCCATGTTATTATTATAGATCCATGTTATTATTATAGATCCATGTTATTATATATCCATGTTATTATTATAGATCCATGTTATTATAGATCCATGCTATTATTATAGATCCATATTATTATATATCCATGTTATTATTATAGATCCATGTTATTATTTTAGATCCATGTTATTATTTTAGATCCATGTTATTATTTTAGATCCATGTTATTATTATAGATCCATGTTATTATTATAGATCCATGTTATTATAGATCTATATTATTATTATATATCCATGTTATTATAGATCCATGTTATTATTATAGATCCATGTTATTATTATATATCCATGTTATTATTATAGATCCATGTTATTATTATATATCCATGTTATTATTATAGATCCATGTTATTATTATAGATCCATGTTATTATAGATCCATGTTATTATTATAGATCCATGTTATTATTATAGATCCATGTTATTATAGATCCATGTTATTATTATAGATCCATGTTATTATTATAGATCCATGTTATTATTATAGATCCATGTTATCATAGATCCATGTTATTATTATAGATCCATGTTATTATAGATGCATGTTATTATAGATCCATGTTATTATTATATATCCATGTTATTATTATATATCCATGTTATTATTATAGATCCATGTTATTATTATAGATCCATGTTATTATTATAGATCCATGTTATTATTATAGATCCATGTTATTATAGATCCATGTTATTATTATAGATCCATGTTATTATATATCCATGTTATTATTATAGATCCATGTTATTATTTTAGATCCATGTTATTATTTTAGATCCATGTTGTTATTATAGATCCATGTTATTATTATATATCCATGTTATTATTATAGATCCATGTTATTATTATAGATCCATGTTATTATAGATCAATGTTATTATTGTATATCCATGTTATTATAGATCCATGTTATTATTATAGATCCATGTTATTATTATAGATCCATGTTATTATTATAGATCCATGTTATTATTATAGATCCATGTTATTATTATATATCCATGTTATTATTATAGATCCATGTTATTATTATAGATCCATGTTATTATAGATCCATGTTATTATTATAGATCCATGTTATTATAGATCCATGTTATTATTATAGATCCATGTTATTATTATAGATTATGGGGTTGGTGGGTTCCGGTTCCGGTGTGTACTGCGTGTGGCTCGTTCACGCGTGTCTAAGTTTTGCTCCTATTTTGTTGTTTAAATGTGATATCGCTCACTCTACTGTTTTGGCACGCTGCGCTGCGAGTATCCCTACAAGCCATGCCGCCTAAAAAAGGCCCGACACCCGAGGAATGTGAGGACATCAGAGCCTCGCTGAAGTTCCTGACTGGGGAGATGGCTTCTGTCCGGGAGCAGCAGACACAACTCCTAGCTTTGCTGGAGTTGGTAAACACCCTGCGTGTCCAAAGCGAGGAAAAAGACCGCCGCATCGAGAATCTGGAGCGGCGAGTTGACGAAATGGAGCAATACAGCCGTATCAATGATCTCATCATCACCGGAATAAAAATCAAACCACGCTCGTACGCGCGTGCAGTGGTCACAGATGCAGTCGGCGGGCAGCCCAGTGAGGAAGAGACGTCCTCCGTGGAGCAGCAGGTGTCCTCCTATCTCCTCTCCAAAGGAATAGAGCTGGACCCGGACCACGTCGAGGCATGTCACCCACTGCCTTCAAGAAACAATGAACGACCCGCTGTCATCATCCGGCTCGTAAACAGAAAAAACAAAGTGGCGCTATTGAAGCAAGGACGAAAACTAAAGGGAACTAATGTTTACATAAACGAGCACCTCACAAAGAAGAATGCGGACATTGCAAGAGAAGCCAGACAGTTGAAGAGACAGAATAAGATTCAACACACCTGGGTGTCAAATTGTAAGATCTATATAAAACTAAATGGCCCCCCAGAAAATGCAAAGGTACTTGTGGTGAGAAGGAGAGAAGAACTGGACAAATACAACACTTAAAAGGTAAAACTACACCACACAGCAAACTTGAACAATATATTAAGCATGACTGTTACATCTGCTACACAATCTAACAACAATGAAATGGACACGCAACAATTAACTCTTCTATACAAACAAATGGAACTGGACACTGTTGAGTTCATGGACACGCCACATTTATCAGAGATTGATCCAGATAACAATTTTTTGTCTTCACTTCATCAGTGGAGCTGTAACTACTTCACTCAAGATGATTTCAACAAAAGTATGAACATTGCAGGAAAGTTATCGATAATCCATTTCAACAGTAGAAGCATGTATGCAAATTTCATCGCTATAAAATATTTTCTGCAGCAGTTCAAAGACCCATTCAGTATAATTGCACTCTCAGAAACTTGGATCAACATAAATAAAGAGTGTGACTTCTATTTAGATGGCTATGAATTTACTTGTATTAACAGAGAGAGCAAAACGGGAGGTGGAGTTGCCTTATTTGTTCACAAGTCAATACCTTACGAGACAGTCTCCAGTATGTCTATTGTTGTTGATGACATAATGGAGTGCCTTACCATAGAAATACGAAATGAGTCCAACAAGAATATTATTGTAAGTTGTGTATATCGATCACCAGGATCAAGTATAGATGATTTTACTGAATGGGTGGAGAGATTATTTAGTCCTGTAAACCAAAAAGAGCTATTTATCTGTGGGGACTTTAACATCAACCTGCTGAATCCAACTCAACATAATGCCACAAAGGATTTTTCTGATACTATGTATAGCATGTCTCTATATCCAACAGTAACAAAACCAAGTAGACTTACAGTGCACAGTGCCACATTAATTGATAACATTTTTACTAATATAATGGAAAAACCTATCACGAGTGGACTGTTTATATGTGACGTTTCTGACCATCTGCCAGTCTTTAGCATACATGACTGTG